TTGGGTGTTGAAACAGATGAAAAAGTTTGAAAGAATGAACCCTAAAAAGAACCTTTCAATGAGTAGTGAAAGTTCTGAAAATATTACTTTAGAACCTTATGTTGTTAGGGTTCGAGAAGAACGTCTTAGTAAAAAAAAAAAAACTAGAGGAATTTAGCAAGGTGTATCTTAAAAAAAAATCAATCTTTCCATAATGAAGGTGATGCTTTAAATGCTAAAATTGATCGGACTAATAAGAGAATTGAGAGTCACAGCAAGAAAAGAGAGAATATGGAAAGGGGAATGACTACATTAGTGCCAAAATAGCGGGATTGAATGAAAAGCGGCAAAGGATAGTAGAAAATTATAGGAAATTGAAGGAGGAAATAGAAGCTGTGTTTGATGAGATTAAATCACGTCCTACATTCGATTTCACTAAAAATACCCCACTTTAAGAATCTTTAGAATTGTCTATCCCTCCCCATTCCCCCATTCCCCCATTCCCCCATTACTGTTGCTACGGATGTAGAGGGCCAAGAACAGGTTAGTCGTGACTCAGAGCATGACACATAACCATTGGATCATTCAGATTCAGCCATGATCAAAATTCATTGCCAAATTATGCCTGGTATAATTTTGGAGGAAACTCCACCGGCCACTCTACAAGGTATTTCATCTCCAGATTTTCAGATATTATCTTGGCTAAAATGTTGGAATTAATTTAATAATTAATTCATATGTGGGTAACAAATTAAAGAGCAATTATATTTGGGCTATTTAATGGGCATACAAGTGATCTTAATTATGGGCCCATGACTTCCCATTTAGTGGTGTGGCTTGCTGAGTAGAAACCAGCCCATTAATCCTAGGGGATTATGGGAAACCCTAGGATTAACCTATAAATATATGGTTATGGTCCCCAATACACTATGCTTCTTGAGTCTCCTGTTCCCCATCAAACAGAGAGTATTGCTCATATTTGGTCTGGGTTGCATAGTTGAGGAAGACCACAAACCACAACTTCCTGCAGATCGTTGTCAATCTATCTAATGGTTTCGGGTAATTCTAATCTCTTTATAGATTTTGGTTTACTTCCATGCTTATATCCCTGGCCTTGATTGTTCTGGAATTTTATGGCTTTTGTTTTAGAATAATCATGAATTATGGTTTATTTAATTTTTCCAACATAAAAAGCATTTAGTTTTTGGTGATTTAGAGTAGAAAAGGGCAACGTCGAAAATTACCGACCTCTTAGCGGCCGTTGATGAAGCGACGGGAGAAACACCATTGGAGCATGATGCATATAGTAGGGATGTCCAAGAAAGGCTGAGCTTTGCTAGGGTTGATGAAAATCTTGGAGATTTGCCCGAAGAAGTCCATGGAGATGAATGTGAGGAAGAAGAAGGAAATGACGATATATCCCAATATGAAGTGAGAATACGAATTCTAGTACATGAGTCACAGCAAGATGACGAGGAGATCCTGTTGAAGTACAAGAAGGAGCATGCGGGCCTGTGGATGTCCCTAATGAGGCCACAGAGGAATCATTTTCCTGTTCTTAAAAAGGCAAGATCCATTCTTTATCAAGTATGAATGTTTCTGACCCAAACTTCCTTTCTACTGCAGAGACTTCAGATGAAGAAGTGTGCTTTGCCAATGTGGTGAAGAAAGCAACGAAAAATAAAATCTCGGCCCACATTGCGCCTTGCGCAATTTTTAGGTTGCGCACCCAGGGCGTTGTAGCGCATTTGGCTGCCCAAAAAGCAGTTGAGGCTGGTCTATCTAAAAATGCTAAGAGGCCTAGGGTGCTTGGAGAGGCAGAAGATCATCCTAAAAAGGTTAATGAAGAGGAGCCCACTTCTACCGAGCAACAAGTTTAAAAAGCGTAGTAGGGTTATGATGGTGTACATCCTGATGAAGGGTATTGAGTTCAATTTTGGCGAACTCATAACGAACGAAATTCGAAGTTGCTCGGAGAAAATGGTAGGTCCACTTGTTTTCCTAGATTAATAAGAGAGTTGTGCTTGTAGGCGGGAGTGGAGGTTGATGATGCGAATGTAGTAACGCCCAATAAGCCAGTCACATCCCTAAGGAGAGTTCGAAGATATTTGACCGTTCAAGAGGATGATTCTCCCATTACCGCTTCAGATCTTGAGTCCCTAGGAGTGGTGAATAGGGAGTAATATGACGAGCTACAACACAAGTACGAGCTTCTATTGGCTACTCAACATGCAACATGTAAGTTTCTAAAGAAGTTATACTGTGATGGAGCACCTTCTTTCCCTTATGAGCTTATGGCCGATTTACCATATTCTTCCCGACCTACCAGTGATGATTGCTCGAATGATGATAATGATGACTAGGGGAGCATCTCTCTCATTTTGCTTTGATATTTGATATTTTGGATATTGATCTTGTACATTAGTTTGTTTAGGTTGCTTTTGTGTCTTTAGTTTGCTTGTTAGGTTGTTGTTGGATGTTGTGCTGTTAGGAATGAGTATGTTGGTTATGTTTATGCATATGATCTAAGTTGAAATTTTGCATGTTTCCTTGTTCTAGCTACTAGCTTGTCCTTAGCTTATTCAATGCATTTTTTCTAAACTCCCAACATGTTCATCTGTTTAATGAAAAGCTTTCCATTGTTCTTTGTTTTTGTATCATGTCGATGAGGATACTTAAGGGCATGAATAGGTTAAATTTTCTAGTTTCGTGATCAAGCCATAAGTCATTTTCCACTTTTTGTTTTGGTTATAAAATTGTGTTATACTTCTTTTTGTTTTAAAACCTAAACTTTTTCATTGCTTTGGAAGTCCTTATCCTTTCTGTGCTAAAATTTTGCACCTCTCAAACTTTTTTTCCCCAGTGAGGATGCGGGGGGAGGGGGAGAGTGGTGGGAACAGTGTGTGTTAGAGTTTACTCTTTACTGCATAAATGTGTGTCGGTAGGCTTGTTTTACCATGATTTTGAACCTCTTTCTCATAACTATTTGCCAAAAAGGATTACATATTCTTAAAGTAAAACACGCATAGAACATTTCTCGATAAATTGCAATATATGGTACTTGAAACAAACGAGAAAAACATGGTCAAAGTTCGAAGAAAATCATAGTTTTTCGGATTTTGCACGAAGGCACAATTTTCGAGCAATTTTGCCACTTTGCCAACATGTGCGTTTTGGTTAATGAAGGGAAAGGGGGTCTTTCCAACATGTTTGAATCAACCTAAAACTGTGAGTCCAAGTCAAGAAGGGGTTGTTAGGTGAATCTCAATTCATTTCTACCTAAAATTATGGGGACTTCAAATAACTCAAGGGCCTATAAAAGGGACCCTCTCCCCCAACAGCAAATCATGTCTTCCAAACTTGTTTTGAGCTTCATTTCATTCTTTATTGTTGTAGAACTTGTTCACGTGCTTAGATTTATATTTTAGTTGTTATTTCCTTGTATTTTTATACATTTGCTTACCGTATTGCTTTTAATTCAAGTTCTACCTTTTGTTCTTCATTTATTATGTTTTTCTTATGTTCTTTAGTGAGATTGCACTCCCCTCACGCTCGAAAAAGAAGAGAGTCAAGCTAGAACTCCTTGTACGACTTATTTATTCGTTTTAATTCAATGAAAATTACTTCATTTATGTTTTCGTGCTTTTAATTACCTTTAATTATGCACAAAATTAGTTATCAACCTTTTTGTGAAATGCCTTAGTCAAAACACTTTGATTTTCAACACACTCAGGACTTTGTCCAGATTGCGCCGGGCACTTTTTCTGGGTTGGTTTCTAGAAACTTCTCTTTATGTATTTTTTTCATTTGGCCAGTTGGATTTTGATTTATACACTAAAGCCCAACCCTGAGAATGGTGGGTTAGGTAAAATAATAGGAAACCAATATGAGATGTGACTTAGACATAAGTGCAAGAAACACGGTCCTAGACATAGGCCCTCTGGCCCATAATGCAAATGAGTTGATAAATATTCTTTAGGATTGTAATCACACATAGACATATGATTGTAAGTTACCCTAGCCTTTGCAGCAACCAAAAGCGGTAGTGAATAAGTATAACTCAAATTCCTAAGAAATACCATAATTGCGCCTAGTGCATTTTTCCCAAAAGTGTGTATCTTCCATATTTTACATCGAAACTAAGGTAGGAAGCAAAGAGGTTGAGTTTTATTAAATTGCTTGATAGTTAAAACCCCAAACAACGACATTTCATCATATTTTCTTCATGAACCACAATTGCATATTTGAACCATTCACTTTTTAAACGTTGTTTGAAAGCAACAAGTCCTTGAGGATTTGACAGTGGATTACTCCCAAGTAGTACTTGTGACGGTGTGCGCTTGCACGAGTCTCTAATTTTTTTATAGGTAGAGAAAGTCCCAACACTACTCATATACTTACCTTTAGTGGGAAGAGTGAATTCCATCTTGTGAGACTATGTTCCCAACTCCCTTTTTGGTCATATTTCCAAAATAGTTGTCTTTTTAAGACTGCCACAAAAGCCACTCTCATTTATGTAAATCAAAGGACATGCTCTCATAGGCAGAAGTTCATAAATCAATCAAAATTAAGATTGAGTCACATATGATCAGTCTGTGAAATACTTATCTTACATGTAAATGAATTTACAAATAAATATTAAATATTTCACGACAAAATCTTATACGAACTCATTGTATATGATACCCTCATTCATATGTCTCCATATGAACGATTTTAATCAAATCATCTATAACACACACAAAGTGGGTCATATCAATAGTTTTACCAGAATAGGGCACCCAACCTTATCCATATAGTATAGACTCTTTAGTTTATAACTTGAACACCATCCGCTTGTATGTCAACCGCAGACTGTTCAATATATTACATTTACAACATTTGGTTTTTTCACTAAATTGGATAATAAGTATTGCATATAATAAAAAAGATCAAATAATTATTTTTCTAATAAATAACAAAATATTTACTAATTACGAAACGTTAGGGCATAAACCCCAACATTCTTATTTCACATGTAATTATACTAAAACTTGACTTGTATACTTGCAGTATGCAATTTTAGAGTACAATCAAATTGACTTTCTTATGACACATAATACAATTAAAAACAACACGTACATAGCACATGTTCACATACTAGTTATTCGAACGAGCATAATTTGATCATGTATAGACATGATATAATATTAAGTAGAGTTATTTTTGTGTTCCTTGGTCACTTTTATTCGAGATGGCCAATAGTAAAGGTAATTCTTTGCTGATCACTCTTGTGTACATCTCGCCAAAGGTGATCCGCTCCTCGAGCATTGGCTTGTCCTCTTCACTAACCTTCAATGGATACACAATGGCTTCTGCTTTCGGGTTATGAAATGAGACTATGGATACTCTGCTGCTGTTTGAGCTTGCCACTACTTGATGATCACCACTCTTGTACCTCCCATTGCTAAGATACTATTTTTCACAAATGATTCTCATTACCATCAACTAAATACGTCTTTAATATTCAAGTTAGTTAAATTATAAGTCATCCTACATGTTTATTTAGTTCTTATATTTAAAAAAACAAATATGTCACAATCACAACTCAATATTTTCTTGACTGTGATAGTCACATATGTCGTTTATATTTTTTCATTTGTCCTTTCAACCTATGATGTGATAGTTAGCCGTTAGCCGGATGGACCAGACATGCTAAAATAAAATAATAATAAATAAATTAAATTAAAATTTCAATGGGTAACTCAAACCATAAAAAGGGCTTTTTGGACTCAATTATTTGAATCATAAATGAAATTAAAATGACTGTCCTGAGATTATATCGAACCCAGCGAATGTTTAGGGTTGGATCAGTTATATTCGAGTTATTTGTAAAACTTAACGAACTCAACTCTTTTTCCTTCTTCTAAACAATTTAAACTTTCCGCTTCTTGTAGGTACCATATTTTCAAGATGTTTATTTTGGTATCGTATATCTTGGACTACTGTCCATTTTAATCATTATAGGTTTAAAACATTTGTTACGGTTAGAAAAATGACTGTTATAATATTTTTTTTTCTTGCAAAATCCTAACACAAATCCAACAGAGAAGTTTGTAAAGTATACATATCAAAAGAGAATTTAAAATCGTAACGGAGAAGTTTACTTACATGACCGTGGTCTCCAATATCAATGACAAATGCTCCTTCCAAGGGCTCGACATCAACCCACGACTCGCCACCATCTTTGGTAGCCTGCAGCCCACACACATGGTCCTGTAACAATATGGTTATGGTTCCAGTGTCAGTATGGCGCTGTAGCCCCTGTGCAACATCGTTAGAGTCTCCAATTTTAGGGTAGAAGTTGGCCACAATCTTCTGGTTCATTTCCAGACAGGCTTTCTCTATAGCTTCCTTGTCCAATCCCATGGCCTCCGACAGCACTGCCAGCAGCTTAGAGGCCAAACCCATCAGTTTTTCACTGTACTCCATGGTCATTGTCGCCCACCCTTCTGGCTTGTCCGGCCACAACGAGTAGTCTCGACTCTTAATTGGGTATGTAAAGAACGTTACAATTTCTCGCGAATCTCGTATTGCATCTCCCTACCATATAAAGATAAAAATTAGGTGTTTATCAGATAGTATCTCTTACTTACCATTATTAAACACTAGAAACCAAAATAAACGAAATTAATAAAAGAACAGAGAGAAAATGAAATAAATAACTCTAAATTTTATAATTGCGGTAGCTTCCCAGTACAATTTTCATGATGGTCCTTCAAATTTATGTTTTTTTTGTTTTTCTCTCACTGTTCTTTCTCATGTTTTCTAAATTATACAATTAACTAAAACTAGATAATTGTTTTTTTTTTTTGGTTTTCTTTTATTTTCTTATCACGTTAATTGTTTGGTGCCATTACTATTCATTGTTTTTAGATTTAAGAAACAAATATTTGGTAAGTATTCCCTATTTCTCGTTGTTCCTTCCCAATAAATGTTGTTGAATTGTATACGAATTTCTTAAAAAAACAACATTTAATATTTTGTTTCTAATATTTCGAAAACATGAATTAATAAAAAATATTGTTTTTTAAATTTGTTTACTTATAAATCACCAAATAAAGATTAAAAAAAATGGTTTAGGGTTTATAGAAAACTAAAATAAGTACTCAAAATAGTGTTGTTTTTCTTCCTTGGAAAATCGAAATAAGAAACAAAAAAACATGGATGAGAAACATAGAAAAAATACAAGAAATGGAAATATTATCAAATAGGGAATTATGGCGACGTCTATTATTTTGTGTTATTTTAAAAATCTTAATGATATAAATGAAAATTTATTTTTCAAAAAGAAAATATTAACAATTATTATTATATATATATCACTTTTAATAGTTAGTATGCATTATATAGGTAAAAAAAGAAGGATAAAAATAAAAGTAAAATTTATTCTTTGATTCCAAAATTTGTATAGAATTTTGGTAACGACTCTCATAAATAAGAAATTAGAAATTAGAAAAACACAACAAAGATAAATGTTACCAAACAATCATAGTAAATTTCGTTAGAGCAAAGAAATAAGAAATAGAAAACAAATGAAAAACATAAATATTACCAAACAACCTCTAGCTTGTACATTTTGTAAGAACATAGAAACAAGAAACATAAAACAAAAATCACTAGCTGGAGCTTCCCGATTCGAGTCCCACGGGGCACGTAGCTGGGACTTCCCCCCTTCCTCCATTCGAAGACAAGTCCTACAACGTTAGTTACAGTGTTGGTTGGCTGTCAATACACGTCCAGTTATAGGGATCCAATTGGTAAAGACACATTGCAACTATTTATACATAGCCATAACAGTTTTTGGATTATATTACCTTTACGTGAGTGGTGGCTAGGTAACCACCCTTCTTACCACTCGACATGTCGAAGCAGAGCTTCTCTTGTGATGGCATGTCGAAAAATTGTTTTGCAAGATGAATCATATCAGACACAAGTTTAGCATCAACCCCATGGTCTACAACTTGGAAAATCCCCCACACCTCGCAAGCCTTGACGATCTTCTTCTTAATATCACCTCTTCTGCCATTGACTTCGTCGTCAATTCCAGCAAGCGAAATGACAGGGATTTCGTTATCGACAAAACTTAGCTTATCATCGGTATTTTCCTTTTTGAGATTAGTCATGGCTAATAAGATAAAATGATGCAAAAATTGTTGCTGGACAAGAACAAAAACGAGCACAAAATTGAGGACAATTTTATGTGGATATAAAGTAGTAAATGGAGAAGTTCATAGTAGTAAATGATGACCACCCACTTTTTTTAATAGCGATTCGAGGGTATAGGGATGCCTAGGGAGAGAGAGAAATTAAATTCAAGGTAATTATTAGGAGGGAGGGAGAAAGGAGGAAATTTTCGTGCACTCCTAGTATTATTATTTTATTTATTTTTAGTACAACATGTCCAATGAAGATTCGAAATCACAACCTTTTAATTGAAAACTGGTACTTTAATTAACCAGTTGAGCTATGTTTAGGTTGGTGGTGCTAGCAATATCTACTCTCATTGATTAACCAGTTTAACTATGTTTATGTTTGCACTGTTCTGATGGTATCTTTTCTCTATTCTTTTCTCTATTCGGAAAAAAAAAACAAAACTGTCTTCATAAATTATTTTTAAATATTATTTTAATTCACATTATTTATTATTTATTATTTATTTATTTTTCCTTAGATTATTCTTAAGTGTTGCTAAGGCATGGTTGGGTAATAAAAAAGAGTAATAAAATAAAAAATTGCTTTCCTAAAAAAAACATAGAAAACTGTATCTATACCATAACACTAAATTTTCTGATGCAGATGAGTACTAAGGCAGGTAGAGTACATATCCAAATTTCTATTAATATTTCTATGTCTATATTTACATAGCCGGTGTATTGGGATTTTCATTATATCATAAAAAATAAAAATAAAAAATCAACGAAACATCGTTAATATTAATATAATAATAAGAATCAGAATTTATAGTGATATGATTAAATCCGTAAGAGACATGAGGTTACAAGGAGAAAAGCAGATAGTTGAAACAACAATTATGGTTCTTTTTAGAGCTACATTTTAGAGTTTGTCTCTCTTTTATCTTTTATTTATTTATTTTAGTTAATTTTAGGGTGTGATTTCCGGCTT